TGCTGCCCCGACTGCATCTCCTCCAATGCTCCGGCTGGGTGAGAGCTGGCAGGAGTCTGCCTGCAGGTGATGGGAATGACAATCCAGCTCTTTCTGCAGCTGGAGCCATATGGACAAATCCTGCTCCGACTGACCTACCGTCCGGCCCCCTGAACCCCACAGCCCTACTCAGCCTGGGCCTTGTGAGTGCTCGTCATTGGGCCTGTTTCGTTCCCCGTCCGTGCCGTGCTGATATGCCCCTGCACCTGGGCCCGTCCCATGGGCCATGAGAAATCTGTACTCTCCCCGCACTCCACATGCCCAAGAGGGCCGGCAATTCACAGCACCCTGCAGAGCTCAGGGACACGCAGGCCCCATTGGGCATTCCAGGTCAGTCCAAGGGGGAGTTCTCCTTGCTGGAAACAATGGGAGCTTAATGGCTACAGCCTCTTCCTCAAAAGGTTCTGGAGCGGTGGGCAGCAGAGCTGCGGGGGGCAGAATCTCTTGCTTCCCTTAAATGAGCTACTGCTGGAAATCAGCAACTAAAGCGAGCTCCATTTCTGCGGAGCGATGGCCCTGAATTCCTGGAGCCTGGCTCCTCTGGCTCCTTCCAAACAGGTCCCCACTGATACCTGTGAGAGCAGCCCCAGGCCAGCAAGAGAGGGCTCTTGTGTGTTGGGATTCGGCAAATCAATGTAGAACTGCACGTCCCTCCCCTGTCACCTGGTCGCAGGGAAACTCATGGATTTGTTTTGCATGTACACAGGAGTTTGCAGCTGGCTCGTCATGGTGGGTTTCAATAGCACCAGCTTCCAGCCTGCGACATTCCAGCTGACCGGGTTCCCAGGCCAGGAGGCGGTTTACCACTGGATCGCCGTCCCCTTCCTTGTGTTATACGTCACTGCCATGGTGGGGAATTGCCTTGTTCTCTGCATTGTCTGGGCAGACCGGCGTCTCCACCAGCCCATGTATCTGTTCCTTTGCATGTTGGCAGTCAACGACCTCGGGATGGCTCTGTCAACCCTGCCCACTGTGCTCGGCACCTTCTGCTTCCACTTCACAGACATCGCTTTCAACGCCTGCCTGGCCCAGATGTTTTTCATTCACTTCTTTTCCTTCATGGAGTCGGGGATTTTAGTGGCCATGGCGTTCGATCGCTTGGTGGCCATCTGTAACCCGCTGCGCTACGCGGCCATCTTGACCAATCCCAGGATCGTAAGAATTGGTCTGGTCATTGTGGTTAAATGTACCAGCATGCTCTTCCCTTTCCCCTTTCTGATTAAGAGGCTGCCATACTGCAAAAGTAACGTGCTGTCCCACGCCTACTGCTTGCACTCAGACTTGATGAGGCTGGCGTGTGCAGACACCACCCTCAATAACATCTGTGGACTATTTGCCATTCTCATCACATACGGCTTGGACTCACTGTTCATCACCCTCTCTTATATCATGATTCTGAGGACTGTTTTAAATGTTGCATCCCATGAGCAGCGCCTCACGGCCCTGAACACCTGCATCTCCCACATCTGTGCCGTCCTACTCTTCTATGTCCCAACACTTGCTGTCCCCATTATCCACAGGTTTTGGAAAAATGCCCCTCTTCTTGTGCATATTCTTATGTCCTATGTCTATATCTTTGTCCCTCCTGTGCTAAACCCAATCGTTTACAGTGTGAAAATGAAAGAGATTCACAAGGGGATTGTGCGACTATTCTCTAGAGGCTGAAAGTGAACTGACAGTTGTGTCAGTAAAGTTGTTATTGGGTAAGTTTTCTGTGCTTTGTTTGATGAGTGTTAAATCTTTCTGAAGAACATTCGAAACCCTCCAACAATAACCTATCTGCATGATAGTTCCTGTCCAGTCTGCATGAAAATTGGCTTATGAATATGAATATGCATAAGTTGGAGATGCTTTAAAGAAAATACCTCATGTAACCTATCAATGTTAATGTTACAGACCGCTTCATTTGTATATCCTATTTTGGTGCATGTATCATTCTTGTATGTAAAGATAGAAATATGAAGTATATGACTTTATGATTTAATGTGCTAATGAGAGCCGTTACTGGTGCTCCGGAAGCCTGGATGATTGGATGATCAACTTAGCAACTTGTAAACAACCTTGTTTGTCTTGTAAGTCCAAAGGTGATTGGACTAGTAAGACATGTGACTGTGCCACCTGGAACTGGGATTCCATTTTTTGACCCAGGTAGTTTTCATGGAAGAGAGAATATAGAACAAAAGATCCCCACCTTGGGGAGAAGACTATTCAAGCAAGGGGAAGTTCTTTGTCCTTGGCTGGTCAAGACAATCCTGGAAGGGTACAAAGAGCTGGGGATCCCGGTCAGAGTAAAATATCATCTTTGTCCTGAAGATTATGCCTAGATCAAGTATAGCTCTTTAGGAAAAGAATCTGCTTACAATCGTCTTCTTAAACCCTTGTACTCCGAGTAGAGCATAGATCATCTACAAGTCTCCTCCACTTCATTCTGTCTTGAGACAAAACTTCTAGCTGACTCCAGGAATACCCCAGTTGTTGCTGTCCTTCAGTCTCAGTAGATCTTCTCCACATTGTCCGAGGTCTACCTCTTTTGCATTTTCCTTGTGGGTTCCATGTGAGAGCTTGACAGACTATGCTGGATGATGGTTTTCTCAGAGTGTGGCCTAGCCATCCCCACTTTTTTCTCTTGATTTGAATGTCAAGTGGTTCTTGTCCTGCTCTGTTCCAAAGCTTCTCGTTTGTGACAAAGTCTTGCCATTTGATGTGAAGGATGTAACTCAGGCATCTGTTTATGAATGTCTGTAGCTTGTGGTTTGAAGACTTTTTAGTATGCAAGGTCTCACATCCATACAAGAGCACACTCTTCACATTTGTGTTGAAGATCTGCAGTTTCATGTTCACAGATATGATTTGTGAACTCCATACGGGTATGTCTACACTAGCTCATTAGTTCGAGCTAGGTAGGCAACTGAGAGCAACCGGAGTTGCAAATGAAGCCTGGGATTTAAATATCCCAGGCTTCATTTGCATGTTCCCAGACGCTGCCATTTTGAAATCCCCCTTAGTCCGAACTAACTGCCCGCAGTTAGACGAGGAGTAACAGTTAATTTGAACTAAGGAGTCAGTTCGAATTAACGTTTAACTGCCGCGTCTAGCCATGGGCAGTTAGTTCGGACTAAGGGGGATTTCAAAATGGCAGCGTCTGGGAACATGCAAATGAAGCCTGGGATATTTAAATCCCAGGCTTCATTTGCAACTC